CTGGAATTGCTCTAAGGGTGAAGGCTAAAGTTTGGTAGTTGTATGTTTAGAATTTTTGTAACGGAACTAATCATGTGACAAAAGAGATAAACATATATTGTATGTAACTGATAGTAAGACGAATTTTTGATTTGTAATCGGCTATCTTCCAAGCAATTTGAAAGTTTCCACACGCTGTAAGATTTTTTTAATCGAATGAAAACTTATACGAAAGTTAAAATAGATCACGAAGCCCTTGAATTCTTTTCTGTTACATCTATATGTTATTATATTGAAATAATCGACAAGACATGAAGCTTCAGGCCTCTACTCATCTATCTTTTTTCTTCTAAGCAAAATTAGAGTTCTCAATATATCGGGAAAGCAAATATTGCACGGAGGCTTTCTAAGACGAGAGAGATGGGAAGTAGGGCTGCGTTTGGTTCAAATCGGTTTAATTTTTTGTCAAAATCGAAATTGAATCGAAATTTTAACATCTCCAACACAATCATAACATAAGCATTCCAACTAGGGTGAAAGAAAAGAAGGGGGAGAAATAATAGGTTAGGGTTTAGAGTTTCTAAAAGCTTTATTTTTTTAATATTTTGCACTCAAAGTTTGGCAACACATTGAGCTTAGTACATTTGAGCTTACAAACTGGGTTTAGAAAATAAGGAAAACTAATGAAAATGACTTAAAAACTTTGAGTTTTAACGATAAGAACAAAATAAAAAGTAAAGTGAATAGTACCAGGTTTAACTTTTTAGTGTAAAAATGTGGTTTTTTGTTAAAGTGAACAGTAGTGCGGACTTTTCGTTAAAATATCCTAGAAAATAATACTCAAAATAGATAATTAAATTAAAAAAATAAAAAATATTAATTTAATTAATTCGGTCTGGTTCGGTTTCTAGACCACTGAAATCGAAACCGAACCAAAAGAATTCGGTTTTGTTTGGTTTTTTTGTTCGATTCGATTATTTTGGTTTCGATTATGTTCGGTTTTCGGTTTTTTGAACCCACCCCTAATAGAAAAGGGTAAGGGACAACACGATTGTGTGGGTGAGAAATTTACTTTGAGTTGCGCGATTTACGTAAACAGTTTAAAATTATTTGATCCAGAGTGAGTAACATCCTATATTAGTTTGGTTCAGCTTTATAAAGAAAATCAAAATATTTCAAGCCTTGCCTCCAAACAAAAAATAAATGAAAAAAACAAAGAAGGAAAATCGAAGCTTCGGTCACGTGCTCGCACGTGAGAACGAGGACGGTTTGAAGAAGGAAACAATACACTTTCGAGTCTTGTTCCCAACTGTCGATCAAGGAGGAGTAGTTTCGCTCTTCTTCTCCGTCAGCCCTAAATCCCCAATTCGCAGCGCTCGCCGATCTCTCACTACGTCGTCAATAAGGTACGTGAAATTCATAAATCTCCAACTCCATATTCAAAATCTTTCCTGTAAATTTACAACTTTTCTCTGATTGAAGCTGATCATCGATTGAATTTGCTCAATTGTTCCCCATTTTATTCCTATTTAGAGCCGATTAGGTATCTATGCAGTTAAATTGGGAAATCCTTTTTATCTGTGAGAATTAGGGCACAAATTTTGAGCTTGGAAATGGTGGGTGGTTGTGCATTTTAGCTGTTTTTGGTACGATTCGTGCATTGGGTTTTTAGCATTTTAAATTGTAGGATTAAGTGAGGAAATTGTGATTTGCGAGCTTAGAATAATGTTCGTTGTGCATAAACAGATAAATTTTGCACCTTTGTAAGTGCAAGCTATGTGTGTCTGAAGTTGACTATTATTAGTTTTGACATTTATTCTAGGTGAATTTTTAGGGTATTGAGGAAAACTTTTGGTATTTGGTAAATTATACACAATTAGCGAGAGGGAATGCTTTATAATGTGTATTGAGACATGAATTTTCCACATTGAATTTTTCAGGTCTCTTGAGTGAGCTATTAGGAACTGGGCATTTTATCCTGATCAACATGGTAAGGTTTCATGAACATGAACAGCTACGGTTGCTGGGGTCATTGTTCAATCTCGTTATAATCATGAGGAATTCTTTGTGGTATTAATTTGGCACACTTCCAATTTGTCGCAGAATTACTTAATTGGAGCATTCAAACCATCCTGCAACATTTCAATCACGTTTTCTGATGCCAAAACTCGGAAGCAGGTAATCCATGTTTAAAGAAGAAATTGAGATATTTTTCCCTTCAGGATCGTTAAAGAACATATTATTGATGATAGCTCGTGCTCCTTGTTACTTCCAACAGATCATTTATCCATGGCTTTATTAAATGCAAATCTCAAATCAAAACTATACGAGATTGGAAAATCAGCTTAACATTTTTCCCTCATCTCTGGTCTGTTTCTCTAGGTCCCCTTAAAGAAGGAAAGTGGCCAAGCAGTATTGGTCCCACTTTTTCAAAGTCAAGAAAACATTTCTGGGAAGGTATATTGTTTGATTGCATCGTTTTGAATGATAAGCATTATAGTACACAAAGGTTAAATCTTTAGGAAATTGATTTTGAGTAGTTTAGACTATAAAGATCACCTCTTAGAGATATTTCCTTTCTTTGTTGTCAATTTCAGATTAATATAGAACCAATTCAAGGGAAGAAGGTCGAACACAATGGAGTTAAAGTTGAGCTCCTTGGTCAAATCGGTATTGTTTTGTTATTTTATTTTTTGTTGCTACTTGCTAGTTTCCTGTGTTATATTTGTATGATGTGGAATGATGGAGGTTTAATGTGAAAATAATAGCATTTCTTAGGATTTTTATTTCTTACCTGAGCACTCTTATAGACTTTATTTATGTTGCAGAGATGTACTTTGACAGAGGCAACTTTTATGACTTTACTTCCCTTGGTGAGTATGCTCTCGCTTCATTTCATTAGCTTTGTACAGTTTCTACTCAGTTTTTCAAACTACTGATTTTGATTCCTTGTTTATAACTGCCAACCCTTTACATTAGAAATAAAGAAAGATAGGGATTAATCATTATGATGCTCCAAATTTTCATATTTTATCCATCATCAGTCTGTCTATTTATCATTTTACTGAAGAAAGAAAAAAGGGTGATGTTTTCCTTGTAATTGTCTTTAAACTTGTTGCTCTTGTTAACAGTTCGTGAACTTGATGTTCCTGGAGATATATATGAAAGGAAAACATATCCTTTTGAGTTTTCTACAGTTGAGATGCCATATGAGACTTACAATGGGGTGAATGTGAGACTTAGGTAAGTCTTAAAACGATCATTGTTACTTGTATTTTCATTATTTTTTTGTTAATTGAAGTAAATATCTATTGGCAGCTTTTAGATTTTGCGTGAACATCATGTTCATAATTCATGCTGACATATTGTAAATTTGCTCTTCCTAGGTATGTTCTGAAAGTCACAATTAGTCGTGGTTATGGTAGTAGCATAGTGGAATACCAGGATTTTGTGGTAATCTCTCTCTTTTCTCTTGTTTTCTTGGAAATCAGGATTTTTTAGCAATATTGTTCATTCCGCTCCTCGCCTTCTATTGTCTATGCTTTCAAAACCTGCTCACAATTTACTACTCACAGGGTTTCACATATAAGTGATTATCATTACCATTCACAATCATTAGTCATGTAGCATTCTCACAGCTTATATTGATGTTGTTCTGTGCTTCAGGTTCGCAACTATTCCCCGCCTCCATCTATTAACAATAGCATCAAAGTGAGTACCAGATATGTACTGCAACAAAAAAGTTTCTGTTCATCCATTAGCTTAATTCCATCTTATGTTGCATCTCTCTAGTGTGATGCAACAACCAGCCCATTGTTAGTCCTCCCTCAATGGATCTTTCTTATAGTTTTGTTCCCTTTGCAGATGGAAGTGGGAATCGAGGATTGTCTGCACATTGAGTTTGAGTACAACAAGAGCAAGTAAGTTGAAATATATCTGACCAGGGTTGTATGTGTATTGTTAGTGGTTTACATGCATGAGATGAAATCTGGAAACATTGGCTATTTTCAAATGCTAAGTTTCATTGCTCCACAACCATCGCCTGAGCTCACTGGTATAGAGCGGGTTTGTACAAAGAGAACTTTGTGCCTAGGATGTAATAAATCAGAACTATGTTATGTTGAGAAAGTTAAAACAAAAGAGAACAATTTGGCGTTAATTATTGGTGTGTTGATACTTGATATACAGGTACCATCTGAAAGATGTTATTATCGGCAAGATATATTTCCTTCTTGTAAGAATCAAAATAAAGAATATGGATCTGGAGATCAGGCGTCGAGAGTCAACAGGGTCGGGGCCCAATACTCATGTTGAGACAGAGACACTTGCTAAGTTTGAGTTGATGGATGGTGCTCCAGTAAGAGGTATGTTCTTTAACTCTTTTGCTTTCTTAATATGACTAACGTCTAAGCTTGCTGCAATTCTTCAACTGTCCATAGATGAATGGTTTACGTGCATATGCTTACCTTTTTCAGGTGAATCAATTCCCATTAGATTGTTTCTTAGCCCTTATGAACTCACACCAACACACCGCAACATCAATAACAAATTCAGCGTGAAGTATTATTTGAATCTTGTTCTGGTTGATGAAGAGGACCGACGGTATTTCAAGCAGCAAGAAATCACTATATACAGGCTTGAAGAGACGTCATGATCACTCATTTCGCATGCTATCTCCATTTGATCCATTTGACGTGGAATAGAAGATAAAATTTCTCGTGGCACCTTGTAAAGCTTAAAAAATTTCGACCTTATTGTGCTTCAATGACTTGGTATTCTGGCTGAGTTGCAACTTTGATACAGGATTGTCGCATGTACATGGGCGCGGTGGAAGGACAAGATCTCCGGTTGCAGTGATGATACATCATGTAACAATCATCCTGTATCTTAACTTTGTGAAGTTTCTCCAATTTACTTTGTGAATTACCATTGGAGAAATTAAGTTTGAACTTTAAGCCTGCTTTCTGTTATTGTTATATCTTTGATGGAATTCTGCATTTCAATTGATCGAAAATGAGAAATGATGAAGATGGGCGGAAATTATCCGGTCGTTGTTATGTTTAGCATCATTACAAGAACATTCAATTTGATTCCGAATTCACAAGTTGTTAGTTATACTAAGGAATAAATGGCAAGCGCGCGCGCACACACACTCACTTATGAACAAAACACGCTCCTTTGAAGCATCTTTCTTTCATACCGCCACCGGTACTTCACTCTTCTTCTTCTTCTTCTTCTGCAACCGATGGTAGCCCCTCTTTGAACCACTCGTAAAGTCCGCCTTCTAAGTGGAAGACATTCGTATAACCGTTGAGGACGAGCAAGTAGGCTGCTATCAGGGATCTGCAAGGAGACTGGCGTAAGTGATCAACTCTGCAACGAAATGAAATCTCAAGGAAGAAGAAACTAAACTGAATCACCTTGACTGTTGACCTTCTGGGAGATTTTGGGTAGGTCTCATCGTACCACCGGAGGCGCAAGCCACTATTATCTTTGCCTTCTTATCAAGCTGCGATCCCACACCTGTTACCATATACCACAACATTGTTATTATTTGGTGTTTCTGCACCTGTAAAAGTTGTCTATTGACAAAGCAAGCTAGCTTATACTTAATACATACTCGATATGAAGTCAGGGTTCTCTTCTGTGCCGGCAAAGATGCCGAAAAACGCGAAAGCAGCACGGCGGGCAATGTCCCACGCTGTCCACTCCTTTATAAGCCTGTATATTTGCACGTTAATCGCGCCCGGCGGATGAGCCTGCATTCACCGCAAACATTCATTTTCCGGTACTTACTTAGCCAGCTCAAACTTCCTGCAGAGATTGGCATGACGCCGGTAAGGGTGACAAATGCAATCACGACGAAGAAAACTTAACCGAACCTCTTTGAATTCCGCTTCAGGCCGCACGTCAAGAATCACGAAGTTGTTTTCTTTTTGGAGCCTCAGAGCTTCTTTCACATCCACACTCCTCACCTGCACATTTTTTTTTCAAAATTTTGGCATCGTTGATTGTTCAATGCTAACGTTCTAACATGGTATCAGAGCAGATTATTCACATGTTGCGTTCTTTGATTGAACTCCTATCCGTTTCAGAGGAGAACAAGTGTACTTACCTTTTTCTGTAGGAGAAGTTCCCTCTTAGTCTTCCATTCTTCTTCGGCTAACCTCTCCAAAACAAGAGAATCAAGAAACCAAGTGAGGCTGGATTAATTTGACTTCAATTATAATCGTTTTTTTTTTTTTTTTGACAAAGCGATATTCTAAACTAGTCTGTTATACGTAAATACAGGTTTTATAGTTGTACCTGGCGTTTTAGCTTGTTTTGTTGCGGCACTACGGATTCTGAGGCCCTGCGACGAAAACCGTTGCCTTGTGGATGATGATGAAGATCTGACTGATCCGACGGCTGTAAGCCAGCAGGAATTCTGGTTATGCTGGCAATGCTTGGAAGCCAATGATCCCAACGGCGAAGAATAAGATGGGTTCAGCGTGATCGAAGTCAGAGAAGCCATTAATTCCAAATATATTTATGGCCTCCAAAAGCCCCAAGAAATCCTCCAAAACCCCGAGAAATCAGCAGCTATATAATCTAAATAATCTGGATCAATAATTCAATAATTCAAAACAAATGGAAATGGTGTGTTTTGGGATGTTATGAGTGCTTATTTGTTGAGTGACGTAGGGCATGGATAATGATATAATGGGATTTTATCTCTTTCTCTTCCCAAAATCTGAGTTTGTGGTGGATATTTGATATTTCCGAGGGTTTATTGCTGTTTCAATTTCTTTCATCCTCACCTCCTCCCCTTATGTCATGTTGTAGGACCGTGCCTATATGATATAACCCACACGAAAAAATAATGAAAGTTTTAATGAAACACTCCCGATACTGTTTACTTTTAGCGAAAAATCATATTTTTACATTTTCTTGATATTATTCATTATACCTTTATTTGTCATTTTTCATTAAAACTAAAGTTTTTTTTTTTTTTTTTAGACTTTTTGTTCGTTTTCCTAAAAATCAATGCTCTTAAATCACCATCCGGTGACTCAATAGGAGCAAATTCTAAATTTACATCACGGTTCATTCTGAATTTGATTCATTTCGCGTGTAAATCGCATGATCGTAGTTGTAGGAGACTGAAATGCCTCTAAGTATTTTCCGCCTCTAAAAAGGTGTACTGTCGTGGCTTAGCACCAGATGATCTCCTTTGAACCTGCCTCCTATCTACCTTTGTTCTTGTTCTTTGTCATATCAATACTATTTTATAAAATTTTATAATTATTAAGTGGACGGAGAGGGCTCGAAATTATTACAACGGAAAATGAGTTTTAAATTTAAGACGCATGGATAGAAATCCAACACTTTATCAACTAGAATATTAGATCACATGTAAATATCCATACTACTCGTACACGGCATGTCTACTTATTTAAAGTAAAGCCGAAAACTGATTGAAAGGGATGGGTTATGGATTTGCATGTGAGTACATGATGCAGAGTAACGGAAGATATGCTGTTAAGTTGGAGGAATCCCATTTCTTATTAATTCTAAATGAGGTATTATACAAGATTAGTGATAACACCTCAATCTATGTATTTTCACTTTCGAAATTATTTAGACTAAGGGGATGGGGAGTGAGTCGATTAAATCTCACAATGGGTTAGAAATAATATAGTTTATGAATTAGTGATAACAAATGATATTATCTAAACTAAGAGGGTGGATAGTGAGTCGATTAAGCCTTGAAATAGACTGGCAAATAATGTGGTTCAAATTCGCTTTTAGTGAGAATCGAACCTAAAACCTCGTCGAATGCTCTTTGTAAATATCTCGGGGATCCTCCAATTACATCCATTGATCGTACATCGTGCGACCAATTTTCTTCGGGTACAGTCTATATTCGATTTTAAATAATAAAAAATTATAATGATTTCTGATTGCACGATGTACGATGGACGGATGTGATTTGAAGATCTCCGAAAACTTCGTAAAAAGGACCCGGCGAGAATTCTCGCTCAAAAAAGGAGGCAGATTCTCTACCCTCCCACTTCCCGTGCCCTCCCATGCCCTCCTGTTTGTGTGGTCACGGTTAAGCCACGTCAACATTTTATATTACTATTCCTTTTTATCTTATTCTCTATAAAAAACAATATAAAATGTTGACGTGATTTAACCGTGACCACACAAAATAAGAGGCACGGGAAGTGGGAGGGCAAAGAATCTGTCCCCCTTGAAAAAAGAGGTGGATTGTCTACCTTCCCATTTTCATACTCTCCCCATGCCCCTGTAATGTGTGATCAATGTAAAGTCACGTCAACATTTTATATTAATTTTTTATAGAAATAATAAAACAAAAAGTAATAAGAATATAAAATATTAACGTTGTTTAACCGTGACCACACAAATAAAAAAGAGTATAGAAATAGGAGGGTATACAATCCACCTCCCTCAAAAAAACCCACCGACACCAACAAACTCTACGTCATGAATCTGATGTCGCCACGTGTCACTTCACTCCAAGTGGAACATCTTAAATTACAATACTGCGTGCAGTGCGTTTCTCCTGCTACCTCATCCTCAGGATTGTCCTGCACTAGCACTCTTCTCCCCATCTGTTTCCAAATTCAAAACACTTCAGTAAACGTACAGCCGTGCGATGCATCGTTACAGATTGTAGAAACAGAAGACGGATGCAGAGGATCAGAGCTCAATCGTCTTCTTCCTCTTTTGCTATATTAACCATATCTCTCTACACGTACATTAAATTTTCACTCCTCTCCTCTCTCTCTCTGCTCTCCCTTTCTCTCTCTAGAGTGCAGTGAGTAACAATGGAGGTTTTCTACTACATGGTGTTCGGGATACTAGCGGTGGTGGTGGCCGCGGCGGAGCTCAGCAAGAGCAACAAAGACCGAATCAACACCCCGTCAACTTTCAACGTCTTCAAGAACAATTACCTTTTCGTTTACTCTCTCATGATGGGTAAGCCCACTAGATCTCACCCAAATTATCATTTCTCTCAATGCGTGTATGTTCGTTTTCAAATGTATGTGCCTTGGTTTCGTGAATTTTGATCCGATCTGATGCGATTAGTGAGTTTTATTGAGTTTCTAAGTGGAAATTTAAGCACCCATTTGCGAGATCTGCGTGTTCAATATGTTTTCTGATAGTTTTGATTGACTTGTTCATGGTTTTTAGAAGAATATTGGGATTTGTTCATCGTTTTTCTGATTGAAAAATATGCTGGCATTGCTTTGATTTTAACTATTTTCTTTTGGTTTCTTCTGAATTGGTGAATAGGAAGTTGGATCTGAGCTGCACTTGGTTGTAATTTGAGTGGATTGAGTTAATTATATAGGAACTTCTCTAATTGAATGAACAATTGGTTTAAATTACTGACAAATTAATGGTTATATGGCAATAGCTGGGGACTGGTTGCAGGGTCCTTATGTCTACTACCTGTACACTACGTATGGATATGGAAAAGGCGACATCGGACAGCTTTTCATTGCTGGTTTTGGCTCCTCCATGTTGTTTGGAACAATTGTTGGATCTCTGGCAGACAAACAGTGAGTTTTCGCTCTAATATCTGTTAAATGGTTCCATGATTGTTCGATAATTTTTAGCTGATGTTGTTGTGAATTCAGGGGCCGAAAGAGGGCGTGCATCACTTATTGTATAACTTACATACTGAGCTGCATCACCAAGCATTCTCCTCAGTACAAAGTTTTGATGTTGGGGCGTATTTTGGGTGGCATTGCCACATCACTTCTATTTTCAGCATTTGAATCATGGCTTGTTGCAGAACACAACAAGGTAACGCGTCATTGCTCTGCCCTTCGTTGTTTTTTAAAATCGTTTGCTCACAGATCCACTCTAGATGTGTGGTTTTAGTGGATGATCACTTCACCAAAAGGGTACTACTATCATGCTCATTAGCTTATATCAGAAAGAAAAATGCTTGCTTGAGGCGCAAAATTTGTTGCCTTTGTATTTTGTTTGGACTTCATTATTTGTTACACATAGGCATTGAGTTTGACTAGGCGCTGTTTCCCTTGGTTGGGGGCGTGAACTGTGAAAATTTGATTGATTTTGAACTTTTAACCCCTTGTATCAATAAATCTTAGATGTGATCTTCCTCTTGACTGTGCAGAGAGGTTTTGAACAACAATGGCTGTCAATTACATTCTCTAAGGCAATATTTCTTGGCAATGGTGTTGTTGCTATCTTGGCTGGGTTGCTTGGAAATACGCTGGTCGATGCACTGGCTCTTGGGCCTGTGGCACCCTTCGATGCTGCTTCGTGCTTTCTGACAATTGGAATGTTTGTAATTTTATGCACATGGACAGAGAATTATGGAGATCCTTCAGAGAGCAAGGACTTGTTTACGCAGTTCCGGGGTGCTGCTGTTGCCATTGCTTCTGGTATACTATAAACTTAAGCTCATATTTTTGGATGATAAATTGTGTATGTTTAATGGTCGGCTGTGGTGTTTGCCCCTGCATAACTCCAACCATTCTTGTCATTCCGTTTACAACCTCATGGTCTTTTCACCTGTGTTCTATAAGTTATATTCGCCGTCTCATTTATTATTATCTTTTTTACGTGGTTCAGATGAGAAAATCGCATTACTGGGTGCCATACAGTCTCTGTTTGAAGGTTCGATGTATACCTTTGTGTTCCTATGGACTCCTGCTCTGAGCCCCAATGACGAGGACATTCCACATGGTTTTATTTTTGCCACTTTCATGTTGTCTTCAATGCTTGGAAGCTCCCTTGCATCCCGGTTGATGGCTCGCCAAACACCTAGAGTAGAGAGCTATATGCAGATTGTCTTTGCCGTCTCAGCTGCCTCTCTCCTGCTTCCCATTGTGACCGGTGTATGTTGGGATTCCGGTGTATTGTTTTCTTATTTATTCTATGTTGTCGTGCCGTCCCCTAACTTTGCTAATTTCCAACAGTTCTTGGTAGCACCTTCCAATGTGAAAGGAGGGAGCATCTCTTTTGCTGGTTGCATCCAGCTTCTCGGATTCTGTGCCTTTGAGGCTTGCGTAGGACTGTTCTGGCCATCCATTATGAAGATGAGATCGCAGTACATCCCCGAGGAGGCCAGGAGCACGATCATGAACTTCTTCCGCATTCCTCTCAACATTTTTGTCTGCGTTGTGCTGTATAATGTATGTTACAGTTCTTGGTCGTTTATCAGAGTATATCTTAGGAACATGATGTTGTCATGTAAGTGTGCTCAGTCCACCTCTTCTGTAACCAACCAGTTGGTTTCGTTTGTATTTTGCAGGTTGATGCGTTTCCAATGACTGTTATGTTTGGTATGTGCTCGATCTTCCTCTTCATAGCATGTCTCTTGCAGAGGCGCCTCATGGCGATTTCAGACAAGCCCAGTAAGTCATTTTTTCGCTCCATCCATAGCCTAATCCTAGACAAGCCTCCTTTATATTTTTTGTTCTTATGGTCGGAACTATTTGATTCTGTCAACAGAGAGTGAAGATCGGGCATCAATGAAGGAGAGGGACAGCGAGGCAGAGCCGTTAAACATATAATCAATGCTGAGCTGACAGACACCGGACTTTTGAGAGGTTAAGGAGAACGACCTCATCCGTTCAAATCCGTTCAACATACTAGTAAAGTTCCCGTTAACTAAGGGTATATTCAATTTCGAAACGTTAGGGATGCGGAATGTGTGAGGAAAACAGTGGTCTGCCCAGCAAAGATGGGTAACGAAGAAGATCCGGTTGAAAGTTTATTGCGAAATTTCGGGGAAGGAAAATCATCTCTTCTTGTAATGCCGTTGTTGTTATTCTTTTACAGTATCCAAATAGCCTCTCTCATATTTTTCTTCATTAACATTGAAGTGTTAAGTGTACCTACGAATTACGATTAGCTAAATGCAATTTTGTTTTATCATTTAAGTTTTTGTCTTCAGAATCGACCGCAATGACGTTATAGGATTCATACAGTCAATCTTACTTGGTAGAAAAAGGCTTTGTTGTTGTTGTATCTTAGTTTTTGTCTTCTACAAAATTGGACTGCAGCTTTTGATTTATGTAAACCCAACAGTCAGTTTTTCGGTTTAAAAATTAAATATACTCCATAAATGGTAAGACCGTCTCCAAACACAAAAAAGATCCTGCGAGAATTCAAGTCACATTTTTCCCAAAAATCGTGAGTTCACAACTTTTGATCTATTATCCAAATTTTACAAAAATCTTCTAAAAAAAAAAAAAATGCTGTTCTCGTGCCATTTTCACCGCACCATGAAATTTATCTAGGCCATCTCTAGCCCTTGGGGACAAAGCTTAAAAATTTAAGTCAGAAAATTTTAAGTCATAACCCATAAACTATTTTGTTCTTCCTGTCCTTATGACTTAAAACTTTAGTCCGAAATTATTAAATAAGACTTTTTAGCCAAAATGGTCTCTGAGATTTGCAATCAATGGAAGTGGTCATTGAGAATGTCCACCATCAATCATTTTGGTTTTTCCGTGCAAAATTATGTTAAATAAGGATCAAAATAACAAATATACCATCATTTTATTAAACAATAGGCCAAAATGATTTGACAAAAATTAAGGGTATTCTAGTTATTTTATTCTTATTTAATGGAGGTTTTTCACCAAAGGATCAAAATGATTGATGATAAACAATCTCAGGACCAATTCTATTGATTTCAAATTTCAGAGACCATTTTGATTAAAAAGCCATTAAATAATGATTTTAGCTTAATTTTTATTTTTTCGGTAACTTTTTTGAAAAGAAAATTTATGTAGATTATCCTAATTTATTTTTATGAACATTTTAATCTAAAAAATATTCAAATTCCGATAAGTACTTTAAAATCATACAAATAATTTTGGACGTTAGATGTAATTTTTTGACCATCAAATCTTTTTTTTATCATTAGATTTGATCTCGTTTGATTACAGTCGTTAGATTATAAGTAAAAAAACACAAAAACGTTTGAAATATAACAGTTTAGTGGGTTCATAATAGTTGAAGCCAGGCTTAAATCCTGAAGAAATTAAGATGATCAAAACCTTATTCCTGTACAATGAGAATCCCTTCACTATTTTTTGAAATCGCGATTGGGATCATTGGTTTTTTCAATTCAACTTCAGATAAGGTGACGATGGAGGCTCAATCCAAGCCGCAGGATTTCATCAGAGAAATTTGTATACATTTTTATTTTTGAAAGGAAAACACACAAATTTTGCAGAAACTCAATGATCTACCTTTCACACAGTTTTTGTCGATTTTTCGAATTTATACAAAAAAAAAAAACTACAAAACTCATGCCTTCAATTTAGTTTTATATGGAGATAATATTACACTCCGACCCTTGAGTCTTGGAGATCATCTGTAAGATTTATACGGACACATAAATTACATCTCCGATCCCGGCAGGATCAGTACGGACCCTCACCCTGTACATCATCTGTATTCCTATCGTAAAACAATACATACGGTGTATAGTCTACATCCCGAGCTACATTTTCAAACACTGCCTAACAAGGATCTAAACATACAACTCCTGCTCTTAACGCTAAACCATTACGATTCTGACTGGGAAAAAAAAACAGGTAACGCAAGAAAGTATGAAAAGTTCATCGTACCTGTTCATCTGACTTGAGTTGGAAGCACTGACAATGCGGTCCGGATCAGGTTTTCCAACTCGCCTCTCAAACAAGAAACAGTATTGTTCAATGTTTCCGGTGAATGTGTCTCATCAAGCGGGTCGTGTAGTACATGGAGCTGCACCTCCAAAAACCGACTGAGACTTGCCTCCGCAACATTAACAAGACCAAGCGATGCATTTGTGTGCATAAATTTCGTAACCATGAGTCCGGCTAGAAGTTGCTGATCTGCCTTCACAAGCTCTGATATAAAACAGGGGAAGAGCATTCTTCTAAAAAGCAACGGCCATCTCTCGTTTTGCACTTGGGCTGCTTGAAACTTGTGGGATATGTTCCCGACCAAATAGCAGATATAAGAGAGAGTGTTTCCGTACGAAGAATTGGAGATGATAGTGGGTAAAACCCCGGAGGATAATACCAGCAATAATAACTCATGGTCACCGCCAATCGAGTCAGAGATGCCTTCTTGCTTCAACTTGTCTTCAACAGCAGCCAAACACCGCAACTGTAGTGATTCAAAAGGCAGTAAAAGCACCAGCTTTAAAGCCACGAAACAATCTCTTTCAAGAAGAATCTGGCTCAAGCTCCTTGCCCCATCTTCATCAAGCAATATCCCATTTGATTTCGGTAGGGAATGATCAATTAGTCTGACAACATCTTTAAATTGGGAGAGCGTTGCAAGTTTTTTGAAAATCTCCAACCAACATGCATGCAAAGGGTGAACGGAAAAGGATGTTTCCTTCTCCTTCACAGGAGATTCTGTCTCCTGAAAACTCTCCCAGCAATCGTCCCACTTATCATCCCAATCATTTCCAGCCTCAGGAGCTTCTAAAGAGGCTTTCTTATCTTCCCTCACCGAGAAAAATCCTTCCCACTCCCCTAACATGGCTAGCAAAGAATCAACATGAGAATATGTTTGTGCAGCATCACACAGCTTCAGAAAGCAAGAAACAGCGGTCTCTTGATTTGAGAGATCATCAGGGGTAACTTCCATGGTGGGTGATATGGTTGCCACAAGCTGTGTCGATTTGAGGGCAACTAATGTACTTGTAAACCTGTTAGATGTATCATTATGATCTGCCGACCCCTGATTAACAGTCTCACTATTTTGACTTGCAAAGTGCACCGCGTCCCATCCTTCCCATGGGATAATCCTAGCAGACAAACCCTTGATACTTTTACCTGTGAGGTATTGCATAAGCTCTAAAGTATAAACTCGAACTGAACCCGGCAGCTGCAGGTTTTCAGAGAACTTAGCCATTCTTTTCCAAACTAGATGCCTCACCCTATCTAAATCTTGTAAATCATCTTCTAATTTACTCAAGGAGGATAGTAGCTGATATAATTTCTCATATTCCTGGGATCCATGGGTAACCACATCCTGCAAAATGCTGTCCAAAATATATAAGTAGAGAAGGGGAAGTTCCTGGATTTCAGTGTCTCCGGCCAAAGTGGAACCCGTTGGACCCCCTAATACCGCTTGGGAAAATACTTCAGACACAGATCCAAACCCACAACCAGAAAAAATCACAGCTCTACAGAACATACAAGGTTCAGAAGGAGAGTCACCAATTAAACCATGATTGACAAAGCTGACAATTGTAGCCCAGCCTTGACTCGGTGAGACAGTGTCTTCTATTACCAGCCTCATGAAAACCTTTAGACAACATGCTAAGCAATCTAGATTGAGCCTGAGATTTTCTCCGACATCCTCATGGGATGCAATTTCCTTCATCTCCTCAATCAATCTTATCCAAAAGTTCAAGACAATTATTAGACACTCTTGCCATGCTGAGTTATCTGGTAGAGTCCCATAAGAACCCAAAAACGGTATGATTATTGTGAAATACCGCTTCATAATGTTCAAAGAATCTAAATGTGCCAAGGGTCTCATATACTTTCTGCAACATTCATAGCTCTGCTCAAGTTGACATACTAAGATTTGAAGGTTTTCAGTGCTTTTCGCGACCGAATCAGTTCCAGCTTTGGTTTCCAAAGTTGCCAACAAACTCAAAATATAATGTTTGTAGATATCCTGCCATGTTATCAGACCCTCCGACACTGGGTTGGGATATATACTGGCAAGTGTCTCTACCATCTTTGCCAAGGCTTCCAAGCTACTATCATATACATGCATGTACACTTCATGCCTTACGCACTTAAAGTTCAAACCACCTAATCCAGCAATATTTTTGAAGTTAAGGTTCGCAATAAAGGAGACTCTTCTGCACTCTTGTTCCATTAACTTGTAAAAACGAGATAATCCAAAACCAGATAAATGCACTTGATCAGGGTGTATAATTGGTAATTTTTTTCTGTTTTCTTCCAGTTGCAAGTAGCAGCCAGAAAGCAGACCAAAGACGTAAGCAAGCCGCACTTTATGGTATCCATCAATTGCAGGGTATACAATAAATGAAACAGCTTTGATGGTTTCCACAGCATAGCCAACTATTTCACCTTTAAATTCCGAAATTTCACAAGTTATATCATCATTGGTCCAAACCTCAGAAACAAGGACAGAACTCAAATAACACAAAAAGACCTGCAAGGAAACAATAGATCACTATCACTAAATGGGGGAAAAAGTCATCTCTATGTTATAGAATTCAGAGATGTAAGCCTACAAAGCTGCCTACCTGTGAACGGTTCAAGCTGTATTCATCAGCTAATGTTAAAACATCCTTCAAAATGTGCTTCTTCTCTAACTTGACTGAATCAATCAAGGGAAGCATAACACTCTTAATATAATTAAAGTCCTGAGACAAAAAGCGTACTGTGTCAACACCAGGGATTATTTTCTCTAATGCTCTACAACGATCTGCAACACGCTTTTGGTCTTCTAATTTTAATTTCCATTCCCTCCAAAAGGTAGACTGCACCTTGTCAAATTTGCCTATTTCACCGGAATCCAATAAAACAACATAAGAAACCATGAACTCCTTATCATTGTAAAAATGTACATGCATCAATAATATTACTCTATTTTCACATTTCCACTGCTTGGAGCTTTAAGATGATAGCATAGCAAATTGTAAATATGTGTAGCAGATTACCTGTGCGTTTTTCTTTAAACTTCCTTAGTAGCAGCTCCCTTCTTTGCGTAGGATCTTCACACTCAAATGCTGAACTATACAACAAGCTATATGTCATCCCCACATTCATGATGCTAGAAACTTCTTGGTAATCCTTCCTTGTTCTAAGCTGCTCCTCTATCACTTCAACCCCACTCACAGCATCCAACAGATTCAACAGAAAGGAGCAACCCACTATGTCTTCCTCTTCAGTAACAGGTGGTTCAATTATTGATTTTGCCAGAGACGCAACCACATTGTCGGTAGGAGCAAAACCATTTCTCGCCAACCAGGACAGAATGGTCACTAGAGCCTGTGTTCTTACACTGACATATTGCTTTCCAGGAACCAAGTTACCACTCGACTTCTTACTGTGTTCTCTATTCCTACTTAGCTCAAGCAGCCATGGAAGTTGCAGGGCAGAAAATGTCAAAAAATTTCCATTTTCTCTCAAAACAGATTCCCAGTTCGTTCCATTAACAGGCAAGTTTTTAGCAACAGCAGAAAGTACAGTTTTTATGTTATCAAGATAGACTTCTTGATCGTCGCAACCAGCTCCCTCAACCATTTCTAAGCAACCTTTTAGGTTGATTATATCTTGAATAGCATGGACTGGACCGGTAATAACCGAGGAGCCTTGAATTGAGAAATCTGGACATTTTGTCCCTGACAACATCATTAATGTCTCACATTGACCTTGCAAATCAAGATCCTTCCATGCACGGAGCAACTCACTCACGGATTCCTCATCGCAATTGCTTAAAGCAAAACACAGTAGCTGCTTTCGAGAATTCATATCCATGTTTTCAAGTGCAGGACCCCTTGCTATTGCAGCACATAAGTCCCAAATGTGACCATGCCCTTTCTTAGCCAAAACAAGACATAGGTCCAGAGCCAATTGGAGATCACCAGCAACTGCAGCTTCTCTGGCAATAGCTTCCTGAACAGAAGATATGTGGTCTGGAGAGCTCAATCCAAGAAGTTTCGCAATCTCAATGAGTTCATCACCATGTAAAAATGCACCACTTTTGCATGTGATTGCCATTTTGATTACCTCCATTGGATCTTTTATTTGCGTGAATTGCATGGGTAAGAGAGTCACTCCAAGGCTGGGAAGTGTAACTGTAAGTGCCTCAATAATATCAGACTCTATTCTGACATTTCCACTGCTTGGAAATAAATTGAGGCATTCCTTAGCCTTCCAGATCTGAAAAAAGTTGTACACTGATTAAGTAATACAATAGTAAGTACTGATGTGCTACCATATCAAAATGTTTAAATGTATCGTTGCGTGCTTAAATATCATTAATCATCAGCAAACATCAGGCATCTTGATACTTACTTCAGGAGAAGAAAGACTTGAAGCTGAAAATAAATACTCCCTTGCAGAATGTATGACAAGATTTTCAGCCTTCTCTGATGCTAAAGCAACTGAACTTGTACCCTTCAGATAATTCCTCGCAAGAGAAAACTCCCCCGCTTTCAGCAGTCCTCGGCAAAATTCCATCAACATATGCTCCAGGTCCAGAAAAGGAAATGCCTTTTCCCTAATGCATTGCATATCACGCCACATGCTTGCCCAATCAGTATCTGATCGACCAGGCTGTCGACGTATAAATTTTGAAAGGGTAAGACGAAGAATTTGCTTTACACCTTTTCCATCTTCATGAGACTCTAGGAAAAAGTTCAGGGGCTTTGGCACCTGAAACCACGGAAAAATTGATTAAATGCAAAACATCAATACCCTAATACCACGAGAAACACTTCCCTTTCATGAAAGAATACAGACCTGATAAAATGAAAGGAGCCTCCCTACTTCAATGTGGCCTTCTGCCAATTTCAATCTTCTCTCAAGTCCATCAATATATATTTCACTACCTGTTCAGTGAGAAAGATAGGTAAACATTCTTAAACAAAAACAAAAAAACATATATCATTGACTATCACACGAACCACAATGCCAAAGAAGCAATTACCTTGCATTTGTGGAAGCTTTGATAATATGGTTGCCATTGTACTCCACCTATCAGTAGATGTGCACAAATAAATGCACTGCAGAGCAGAGTCTATTGCTTCAACCTCATCCTTGAATAGGCTGTTACTCTGAAAATCGCTGCACCCTTCCTCTATTACCTGCAAGCAGATGTCCAATTTGTTCTCGGAAGCAGTTTCCTTCAGCCATCTAACCAGAAATGATTCAGCCTTGTTATGCTCTGTTGTAGGATGGTTATCAGCCGCCTGATCCTGTGACCTATCTTTCATAAATGGAATTGCCATATTATGTAGTCTTCCAATCATATTTTCTTTTTTAACTCCTTTAAGCATCAATCTGAACTTCTCATAGTCAGAGAACTTTTCCCACATGACAAGACTCAAGCTGGAATTTATTTCCGGACTACTGTCATCAGAATAAATAAGTTGGTACAAGTATGAGACATCCTCATGAAACCTCTGCAACTCGTGTAGACCTTTGCGATTAGCAAAATCAAGCAAGCAAATGCAATTATCTAGCTGTCCACTACAACTATCAATATCTCTAGCTCTCTTCTTGTACCACATTGAAAGTTCACTAGTTGATGGCCAAACTGATGCTAAGCACTGCTTCAGTAGAGGTTCGGTCTGGATTTGGATACCAATTTCATGGTCCTTGGGTGATCTCTTTTTAAAACTTATCGTTTTCTCACATTCAACCCAATCTTCTTCCCTCACAGCTACATTTGTAGGGGGAGACCTCCCTGGAAGAAGCTGCCCGTATGTTTGTACAGGAACTGTTTCGGGGATAGCAGCTAAAATCTTCAAAACGCAAGAACCCAGTGAATAAGGATGACGCTTGAACAGGAGATTTAAGGCCCCAATCTTCCCACTTTCAGCGAGCATAACAGCAGCTTCACTTATAGGCATGGCTCGAAATTTGCTATATTCCTGCACAGAAAACCTGCGTAAAACTATGTCATTCAACTGTAGGTTAATGTTTCGCTATGATGAAAAAATAGTTTCGGATGATTACAATACCTGCCCATGTTTATCCCAAGAAAGGTCTCCAACTGGTCTCTGAATTGTAATAACTGAAGTCTAGCCATACGGAAATCCCAAATTTGGCTACATTCATCATTTTCTGATTCAGAAAACCCATACTGGTTAGTTAGGTTCAGCCCATATGCAAGTAAGGTCCTCACAGCATCTTCTGTAGGTCCAACTTTGTCAACACATTCGGAGAGTAAAAAAGTTTTGTCCTTAATTTTTGATAGAAAGGTACTTATTTCCTTTGTTCCTTGGCTTGACTGCAACCACTGGGACTTTACAACTTCATCCTTATCCAACCCATGACAATCAGCAAAATCCAAGGCAGCCTGATACTTTTCATTTCTAATCAAAATATTATACATCTCCCTGATGGATCTTTCAGAAAATGATACAAGGCTCCAGTTCAATGAAGAAATGTAAATTTGGTCAAGGCTGTCCACCACAATATGCTCCATACTATGTGAAGCATTAGTTTTCTTTGAGTCAGATCTCTCTTCAGATGACAGAGTCTCCAAAAGAAACAGGTTTCCTTGAAACAGATTTATTCTGTCTATAACCGGCTTAGAATATACAGTTCCATTTTCCTGAATTTTCAAGCCACTAAGGATGTCAAGCATGGTAACAACGCCACACCTTTTTGCAAAAGTAAGGATGTGGTCAGACCACCAAGTAAAATCCACAATGTCACTTAAATATTCCCCTTCTCCACTTGACAAATTATTGGTCACTTCTGACCCGCATCTCTCTCCGCATATAAAATTGGAAAGTGAAGAGCATTCTTTATCCAGCTTAAATACGTGCAAACATCCTGTGACATCTAAAGTACCAACAAATTTGGCCTGTGGAGAGATTAGCACCTTTGGATATACTAGCTGAATTCCTTTTGGTTTCGAATAAAAACCCTCAAACTGAATGGTAACAAGCTGTTCCAAATCAACAATCCTACTTCTACGCCAGAGAGAAAGATAACAAGATCCTGGAAGAAAAAGAATACTTAATTAATAAGTAATTGATAAACTAATTGATAACTGTCAGTATCTTTTTTGCATATGAAATAATTAGCAATGAACTCTGAAAATCGGCACAAAAAAAAATACATGATATGCAAATATTCAACCAACAACAAGATCTAGAGTGTTCTTCCATTCTTCCAAAAACATAAGAGCTCCCATTAAAAATAAGGCCATCAACAAAAGTTACTTGATCATCCAGATTCATGCAAAACTAATGCGGTAGATTTGTTTAAGATAATAATCTAAAACTTGCCATATTCGAGAAATGATATTAACCACATAAGGGCCTGTATAAATGAATATCTTCATGTATAAACATGTATAAGCTAAATGGAAAGTAGAAGTAGGAATCATGAGAGAGTTGCAACCTGAGGTTAGTATGACACCAGCAAGCAAAGAAAGCTCTGGGTGGTAGTCAACGCAGAAAACATTGCAAGAGAGCTGCCCCTTTGCAGTTAACCCATTATGTGAGGTGCGTGCAGAATATATAGAGGAAATTGGATCCTGACTGATCTCAATATGGTGAAGGGAACCATCAGAGGTGACCACAATAAAGCTACACCTGAAAATATTTCATTAACTTCAACACATGAACCTCAAACCAGATAATCAAGACATGTTCTTGTAAGCATCATTTTTTCACGGGCTATGGACAGGGAAAAAAACCACTTACAGACAAGATTTCTGTACGTCAGAATCGTCTTGCACAATCAGGCTTATTACTGGTAAAGATACTTTTAAATCCCTCCTTGCAATCCCTGTTATTTCATCACCGTTTGCTTTGATAAAATGTAGTGTATCAGTGTCATCAACAACTCCAAGAACATCATGACTTTCTGACCAAGTTCCTATTGTAAACGAAGTAAGGCTTCCACCTGATGGACAGAGCACAGATTAGATTCATTAGAAACTATCTTAATGAAAAAACAGAACTAATGTAACATTCAAATTTGGATATAACGAAGAAAATCCAAATTTCTAAAGCATACATATCTCACATACGTCACAATGAAGAAACAATAGGAATCAATACAATATGTGTACCACAAAAGTATACCAACTTCAAACCTCATTGACCAGTATTAATATGGTAATCCTACAAATTCCTCGTCATGATTTTCTGAAAAGACATGTTCCTTAATTAATTCTCTTTGGCGCCAATTTAGGACTCACTGTATACGGTGGACTACTATGGTTAGAGGTCTCATGGTCTACAACGAAACTACAATGTGACCGATATGGCTAGTTCACAATGAACGTACATATAAGTGTTCAGTAAAGAAAAACCATTTTTGCCTACCGCTACTAACTGGGTATTAATATTTCAAATATATCAGCTGACCATTACAGGGTACATTGGAAAAAGGGCACAGCAACCAAATATAATGCAGGTAATCAAGTTTATTAGTAAAGACCTCAACTTTGGAGGGAAACAAGTTTATAATCCAAACATATCATTCAAAAACAACAAGAATGCCCGCCTGACGCCGATAACTTCAAGGCTGTAACTTTAATTTGGAACATTCAAAATATGATGCAGCAAGATAACATTAGCTGATGCTTCCACAAATGCAAGGTCAACAAAATCAATGAAATACAACTTATCTTACTTGTAAAAGTGCCGCACGGCTTTGAGTATTCGTCCTCCTTCTGCAAAATCGTTATCTGATTTCCGGAAGCAACAGCCACACGCTCGCCTCTCGGAGAGATAAACAAAGATGCCAGCTTTCTCAATTTTCGTGGCTGTTTGTACTCGCTCCATTTATCCCTGAGCTGGTTCGCACCTTCATGGATCAACAGGGAACACAAATTCAATCAATTCGGCTTCCAGCGACATGATCACGCTCTCAAACACCATAATTCATCCAAAAAAACAAAAAACAAAATAAATAAATATTGAGAGAGAGAAAAAAAGTGAACCTGGAAGGGAAAGCAGTGATCGAAAGCTCCCTCTGCTGCCATTGTTTGCCTAAACTCCGTGAATAAATCGGAAACGAAAGAAAGTTAACAACTTTGATTAATTGAGTGATTAAGCAAAACATGGGGTTGATTAACTTGAAATTCAAGAACATTAAGAACCTGTTGAGGAGGGTAATTGGGAGTGTAGGGCCTCGTAATGTGAAGCCGTGCCTCGTAAAACACTGTGCGAGTTGCTTTGTCCATGGCGTAATGATTCGGCGTCGTTTTTCCACCCTCCAAGATCTCAAACACTTGACCTCAAAAACCACGCCTGCCATCTCAAATTCCACATTTTTTTACAGAGAGGAGAGGAGAGGAGAGGGGAGGAGGGAGGGAGAGAGAAGACAGACGCACCCCCATTTTTTCTCTTTTTTTTTTTTTTTTTGGATTTTAACGAAAACTTTAACGAAAAGTCATATTTTTACATTAAAATGTTAATTTTGGTACTATTTATTTTACCCTTTATTTTATCTTTATCGTTAAAATTCAAAGTTTTCAAACCTTTTTCATTAATTTTCTTTTCTTTTTTTGGTTGTGAAACGGATCAAATATGTCAGGCCTGGGCCGAAATAAAAATTGGGCTTAAAGCGAAGAATTTAAGCTGGACCACTAGAATTGGGCTTGGATCTGGGGACCCGTTGGGTATCCTGGACGGGCATAGACCCATCGGGCCGTTATTGCGATGCGTTTTGGATGGGAGCCTTTTTCCTTTTCTTTTTTTCTTGATAAAACGATATTAGGGTTGGGATTTGTCAATTCATAATTTAGTATTGAACTTGCCACATAGAAACATTAAATTCAAGACATTTTATATATAAGTAAAAAAAACATCATCTGACTGTAATAAAGTGGGGATCGACTAAAGGTGGTAAATCAACTATTGGGTTGTTAATGGGTACCCATTATGACTCATTTAGTTTGATTTCACCTTATATTATTGTCACTGCAAATCTCACCTCGATATTATGGGGATATCAAATTAAATGGGTCTTAGCGGTACCCATTAACAAGCTAATGAGTTAATTTGCCACTTCTAGAATAGACCCATTCTTAGATTCTTGTTAGAGATTTTCGGATAATGCTTGGGAAACTAAATTTGTAGACAAAATATGCAAATCAAATTACGTGTCACCAATAGGAAATGAGTACATTTATCAACATTTAAGTAATAATTCAATCATCAACTTCCATGTTATTTATTTTACAAAACTTTGTTTACCCAAGAGATTCTCCTATTCGTTTGTTTTTTTAACGTACGAATAATGTAGCATGAAAGTTACTACCCAAGAGATTCTCCTCTTCCTGAGGGTTTGAAAACAAACGCATTATGGATGATAATGATGGTGGAGGAATAATATTCGGATTGCTACACAGATTACAGCGGTTTGGTGCAAATTATTCTGCTGGGATAATGTTGTTGCAAGCCAATTATCTACTATCAATTTCTTGAACCAAAAGAACTAGTTCATGCATGCAATGCAATGGAAGATTTTATTCTCTTACAAGAAGTGCCATATACGCGCAATGAAGTAGTTAACTCAACTAGCATATATATTCTTCAGCACTGGCTTCAAATCAAATGGATGAATTGGTGGAATATTTTGTGTCTATAATACATAATATATTCTCTCGTTCGGATACTAATTATCGGATCATATCATACGGTAAAACAAAGTTTCAGCTTTTACGATTTCCAAAAGTCAGATAGACGAGAAATTTTTCTCACAACTTCTGATATTCCAAAAGTCATTTTCAAAGATGACCGTTCATGATCCCCACTTCTACTGTGTCTCTACTGCAACCCTAATATCAGTTCAAGCTCATGCTATATATAATGATCTTAACTGTAAAATTACCATGACAGATATTAGAGAACTCTATGTGGAAAAAAAATACCGTGACCACTCCTTTTATCTTTATATAATTGTAATGACTTTGGACTAGATGTTGCATAATATAATAGATGACCAAATAGCTACATGAATATCATGCATAAAATCTAAATACATATCATAGCATGCATTATAAAATAAATAATTAATCAAAGAAAATGTTTTATATGCACCTACTTTCTTCTTTTTGCACATCCCTATTTCTATTTCTTCCCATAATTTTTCTTTGCTTTATTGAATCTCAATGTCAAAAATAAAGAGAGCATTGAATTAAAAAACAAAAAAAAAAAAAAAACAAAAAAAAGAAGAAAAAAGAAGAATGTACGAAAACCATATTGTTTATCAATTAAACATGTGACATGAAAATTAAGGACCACTGTTTCAAAGTAATCATAAACATATTAGGACCGTACGAATAAATCTAGAACTCTACAGTGACTCGGCGGCTAGCTGTTGCGCAGCTGCTTAAACTATCTTAATTGGAACCGGATTCCCTCCGGACTCAAAGAAATTGAGTTCAAGGATCAAATGATCCGGACCATTGAAATTTAATCTAATGGTTATAAATAGGAGGCCTCTCTAAAAGTTATAATAATTGTAGCCGTTGGATCAAATTTCATTGATCTGGATCATTTGATGACTTAATTCCTTTGAGTCCATAGAGGATCCGGTTCCATCTTAATTTTGTAAGAAAAACAAACCCTATTAAATTAGCTAGTTAGGGCAAAAGTATAAGTGCTCACTATCTCTCAGCTTTATTCTGTTGGAAGACTTTCCTCGTATGTTTCAAGGACTATCATGCATGTTTAATTAACTAGCAAGTCCTCTTTTTGACCCCAAATGAAGGGATTTGAATTCAAAAGTAGCGAAAGAAAAAGAGTGGCAAGAGATTTCCAAAGTTGTTCCCTTTCTTGAAGAAGTAAAACTATATATTTTCTCTCTTCTTTTAGCTCTTAGATTTCATGGCTTAGATTTGTAATTCCCGTATAGAATTAAGAAAGAGTGGTGTGTGCACTGAGGAATTTTTATGGATAAGGAAAATACAAGTCAGGCAGTGTATAATTTTAGTTGATATAATAAAGGTAGATGGAAATAATTAATATGTTGTACTTTTAAAGTATATATCAACAAATAAATAAATTTATGTGTTATAATTGTTAGCATTGACGGTACTATAGGATAGAGAAAAACACAAAGTAAGGTAAAAAGATAGACCCCAAGGATTTATACGGTGCAACATTTTCTACTTATGTCGACAAGGCAGCGATCGATCTTCCACCATATCAAAACAATGGGTACAATAAGAACAATATTACCAAGCCAAAGACAAGGCTTGATGAATACAAGAAAGTGTAACAGTCTAAACCTTACTCACACAATTTGTGGTGAAACACTCATTCTCAACCTTGGAGTGGAACAACTCTTGGAACTCTCACTCTCTCTCTTGGGGTGGTACGCTTGCTTTGGATGATCCACAATGGTGAATGTCATCTCTTTTACATGCATGGATGGAACATCCTAGTGAGTCCAAGAATTAATTCCACCATTATCAACATTCATGCACCATCCAATGCAGTAGTCTTGGAACTCCATATGTAGTAATTCATGCACCACATAGAGTTCCCATGTTTGATTATATGAACCAACCATTGCATTCCTTTGAATGTAGTATTCTCCAATGCATCATTTGCTTTCTATAGACTTCTAGAGATTTCAAACCATCTTTAGTAGGGGCTGGACCCATGGCATATATACCAACATTAATTTGAGTGAAATATTATAATTTATAATTAATGTTACGTGTCTGTGTTTCGTATACTTACTCCACCACAATGACGTCCAAGTCGAACGACATTGATGCCCTGGCATGTAATATTGGTGATCTTGATTAATCACGTGCCTCCATTATGTTATGCTACTGCTGATGGAGTTTTATTAAATAAAAAAGCTGATGAGAGAGGCGATGAAAGGGATTATAGTGTTAGTGGGATTCCTAAAGATAGGTTTATGAAAAATGTTCCTTCCTTATCCTATTTTGTCCTCCCTTACAGGAACCATCTGTAGCTTACCTAACTAATCAAGATAACCAGCAAGCTAAGCTCCTACTTCCTCTTATATATAGAGGTGGAAGCTCCAATTCAGTATATCAAAAGCGCTTAAGCGTGTACTAGTACGAGCCTTAATACTTGTTTCTGCAAAAGTAGACATGGTGTGATATTGGTTCTGGCTCATATCTCTGATAACTAGCTTATCTTCGATCATAAATCGTCACGATTCACAACAAAGACTAGTACTACGCACTCTTTGAGACGAGCCGAACCAATATCACTCTTGTATGCTTCTTTGCATATACCTAGCGTGGTCGTTTGAGTTTATTAAGCAAAGGCCGCACCATCACTGAGGTTCGATGACTAGGGCTTCATACTCTCTCTCTCTTTCTCTCTCTCTCTCTCTCTCTCTCTCTCTCTCTCTCTCTCTCTCTCTATATATATATATATATATATATATATAGCTCTATCTATCTAATTTTCCAGTACTTTAGCAATATTTCTTTTCATTTCAGTTTTTTTTTCTGTAATTATGTTTTTATCTACGTACTTACACGTCTGGTTTTCTGGAAATGTGGATATTGTTTTTATTTCAAATATAACCACATTTAATTTTACATTAATTGGTTTCAAAAACACACACCTCTGCTTAATTTTCCTGATTATCTCAGTTTAATTTCACCATATTGTAAAGAGTTGTTGGATATGCATTATACTAGTTTCTTTCTAACCTCAATTTGCAGTAAACACACAGAGGTGCTAATACTGATCAAGCTTAATTACCAGCAGTATTTTGCAGAATTAGGTAAATGTATATGTATGATATTTACCAGCAGTATCAAGCCATATTTTGAAAATTCATCAAAATAGCTTTCAATTTTTAAAAACCAAAAAAAGTTTCTAAATAAGTTCCAAAAAAAAAAATTAAAAATGAAATGACTATCAAACGATCATTTTCTTCAATTAAATAACTTGTTTAGAATATAGTTAAGCTTTTATGAGACCAAGAAATTATATAAGCGTATGAAACTGGGCGATTCTTTGATATATGATTAATATATATGTATCCAATTAAAATTATAATCTTAGTCATTCTAGGACCTAATAATACATGCTTTATTTATACAAGCGGCGCCTTCTTTTTCCATACCATTTCTTTCTAGGGCTTCGTAGTTTGTAATTTGTCCACTTTAGACTTTGTTTTAGGAACGATCTCTACAATTTGACCCAAAAAATGTATAAGTTTATGGGGCATTTTCAGATACAAATATTATTCTTGTACGTACTAAGTAGAGCACAAGAATCCAGAGAAAGCCAAACCTCATGAGGGATACATATATGTTTTACATCCAAATAAAACATTTTGAGCTCCTTAGAGACGGACTCTTGCCGCTTTTATTTCTAGACAAATAAGTGATCTATTATTATG